CCATTCCCGGGCCACATTTTGGATGCCCGGAGCCAACTGTAGGCCACTTCGTGCTCTTCTATTTCCCAGAACTCCATTCCCGGGCCACATTTTGAATGCCCGGAGCCAACTGTAGGCCACTTCGTGCTCTTCGAGTTCCCAGAACTCCATTCCCGGGCCACATTTTGAATGCCCGGAGCCAACTGTAGGCCACTTCGTGCTCTTCGAGTTCCCAAAACTCCCATTCCTGGGCTACCAGGAGGAGGAGGGGAGGGGGAGGACTACCAGGAGGAGGAGGAGGAGGAGGAGGAGGAGGAGGAGGAGGAGGAAGAGGAGGAGGAGGACGAGGAGGAGGAGGAGGAGGAGGAGGAGGACATTGCCGGGCAACATTTTGAATAGCCAGACGCTTCATATTCCTTCCGCCACAGCTGTGTTTGGTTCAGGACTTGCTAGTGACACTGCAGTCCTCTGCATTCAATTGGCCACTACATTCATTCACTGCAGTCCACTGAGTTTTGATTGCAATGGCGTTCCCCTGGCCGTACCCCCATGTCCAACGTTCATCCGCAGCCTCTGCTCCGCGAGGCTCGTCCGAAGTGTCGCCGCCTCGCGGTGCTTCTCAGCCTGCGCCGCCTCGCGGTGCTTCTCAGCCTGCGGAGGAAGGTGGACAGACGCCTGGTTCTGGCGCTGTGCAGCCTGCGTCTTTCACGGTCGCCTCGTTCAATTTCGGGTTCGAGCAGGGCATGATGACTGGTAAGCAGGCGGCCACTCACTGCGCTAACTTCGGAAGGTTGTGCGCCAAGATAGTGGAGACCGCTGATGCTGATATGGTCTGTGGCTGCGAGGTCGGTGCGTTCCGTGAAGGCTTTCGCCGAGCAGGGATCAACGTGACAGACATCCTCAGTAAGCCTTTCGGTGATGGCATTCGCTTCTTGGAGGTCGACAACTACTTGACTCTCTGGGGGTTCCGCGGTGCTTCTCAGCCTGCGGAACTGACTCTGTGCGAAGACAGCAAAGTTTACAGGCCTCCTAGCGGCCGAGATATTGATGCTGTTATTTCACATTTTGAGGTGAACAAACCAGGCCATGACAAGTTCCACGTGGTGATCGCCAACATGCACATCGTGTGCGGCAAGAAACCGCCGAGCATCCAGACTCGAAAGCGGACAGTTCGCCATCTCCGCTTGCACCTGGACGGCCTGGCCAAGATTCTTGAGAATCTAAACGAGGCAGTCGTTGTGCTTGTAGTCGGCGACGACAACCTCACTTTCCAGGAGGCGCGGGAGGCTTACCAGCGCGAGCAGAACGACGAGAAGGTATGGGAGGTCCATGCCACTCCGGCCGACCTCAAAGGCGACCACGTCGCGGTCTGCGGAGCAGTCGCCCGTTTCTGCTCCATTGCCGTTGGCGCGTCTTTTACGGATCGTGGCATGCGCAACGACGCACACGATGCGGTGGCGGTTGTGCTCACTCTCCCTGGTGCTATTCAGCCTGGGGAGAGCAAGAGGCGGAAAATTGTCGTCGAAAACGTCTCCGACGCCGACGTCAGCGTACAGGCGGACCGCGAGTCTTCTGTGCATTGGGATCGGTCGCCGAGTTCTGCTCCTCCGCTTTCACCGACTTCACCGGGTGATCCCGACTACGTCGAGGATGTCGTTCAGAATCGCGCGGACGACTTGCACAGGGAGCTGAGGAAGCTTTGGGACGACAGGTACGACGAGGAGTACGATCCGAAAGTCCTCCATCATCTCAGTCTCTTGCTTTTCAAAAAGAGGAAGTCCACGGAGCCAGCGGACACTGATCCAGCTGGCGCTCCTCAGCCTGGCTCGGAATATGACACGGCCTTTGCGTCTCAGGAGGAGACTGGCCGAGCCATTCTCTCTGTCCTTAAGCTTCGACATGACTTTCTGCGGAGCAAGAACATCGACGACATGCGCTACGTTCTCACGGAGCCTGAGCGCCAGGAATTGGTCAGAGTAGCTCGCGACCAGTACGAGCAGTCGCGGCAGCAGCGTGCGCTTCAGGAACGGGATATCGAAAAGGGAAAAGCGAAAGGCAAGTCTGCGCCACAAGGGGGCCATGCGGTTCCGCAGGGTCCGAACAAAGGGCCAGGCGGTAAGAAAGGTTCTCACGGTGCTTCTCAGCCTGCGGGAAAAGGTGGCCAGGCCAAGGGTGCAGGTCTGGGTAGCGTCGCCAAGTTTGTGAAAGACCAGAAGCGTAAGCGGTGGCATCGCCATTTGCAACGTGTGGCCGGTACTAAACAGATCTGGGAGGTGCTGGCCTTCTCAGGGCGCTTCGACGTTGATTGGTTAACGCAAGCGTTGCAAGCTGATCACAGTGAGGGCCGTGATGCAGCAGTTCCCGAGGAAGCTCTGCGGCAACAGCGGCGCCGGCTGCACCACCAGAAGGCCGAGGCCATCGCGCGCTACAACGAGGGGGAGCGGCTTTCCCTATATCTGTCTGCCCAGGCTGGCCAGGCAAAGCCGAACTTCACGCGCAGGCAGCAGGACGTGTTGCAGATGTTTGAGAGCGGAGCGCTGCTTCAAATCCGCAACCAAGCGATTCTGGCGTGCGGGCACGGCCGTCTGTTCAGGGGCGATGGCGACTACCTGGACATCGGCGGCAGCACGGGCGGTGGCTCCAGGCGCATCATCGATTCTTGGCAGCCGCCGGACTGGCGTGACTTCCTCCAAGACGATCAGGACATCTGAGTTTTGCAAGTCTCTCTGCCCGCGGTGCTTCTCAGCCTGCGGTCTGCCGCTCTCCAGCTGCGGTCTCGAGCAGTAGTGTTCGAAAGCATGCGAGTTCCTGCGGTGCTTCTCAGCCTGCAGGTTTCGCAGCCTGCGCTCTGCAGTACAAGTGCTTTTCAGCATGCGACATCCTGCGGTGCTTCTCAGCCTGCAGGGTTCGCAACGTGCGGTTTGCAATGCATTCCTTTTCAGTATGCGAGTTCCTGCGGTGTTTCTCAGGCTGCAGGGCTCCGAGGCTCTTCGCTTCGATGCCATTGTTTTCAGACACCGTAGCTCCGTTCCGTAAACGTCTTCCAAGAGCCGCTCGCAACCTTTTGCAGCTGGCTGTCTGCACGCTTCGCCGGCTTTTGCTGCGCGGACAATTTTCTCACACACGTCAGCGCCGTTTGTAGGCGTCAGAAAAACATGTAGACATTCACGAAGGGCTCAGTCTGTATATCGTCACATCATTACATACGCAGTCGTCGAACACATCGGTGTACATTCAGCGCTTTGTCCTTCTAGCTGGGTTGCTTCGTGCTGAGGCTGAGGCTGATGCAGGCTGAGGCTGAGGCAGGCTGAGGCTGAGGCCGAGGCTGACGGCAGACTGAGGCTGAGGCTGAAGCAGGCTGAGGCTGAGGCAGAGGCAGGCTGAGGCTGAGGCTGAAGCTGAGGCAGGCTGATGCTGAGGCAGGCTGAGGCTGAGGCTGAGGCTGATGCAGGCTGAGGTTGAGGCAGTCTGAGGCTGAGGCCGAAGCTGAAGGCAGACTGATGCTGAGGCTGAAGCAGGCTGAGGCTGAGGCTGAGGCAGGCTGAGGCTGAGGCAGGCGGAGGCTGAGGCTGAGGCAGGCTGAGGCTGAGGCTGTGACTGCGACTGCCGTTGCCACTGCGACTGTCATCGCGAATGCGACTACGACTGCGAGAACAGCAGAACTCTACAACTGGATTCTCATTTGAATCTTAAGGGGAATGCTTCCAGATATGCTCCTACACATCGCTGTTAGGTTGCTTTGCCGGGATAATTTTTAAACAGGATAACATAACACGTTATGTTTCCGCGGCCGTTTGCTATCGAACGATATCAGGGGATCCCCTTTTCGAGCCAGCAGCGATAACAAGTTATCAGATGTGTTCCAGTCACAGACTGGGGTTTCCCTGATTTCACAAGCTGTGTGTGCGAGGCATACGCCTCATTTCATAAAGATCGACCGAGCGGATCTTGCAGCTCGCGGCCAAAAGCAGCTCGACATCATTATCATTGACACTTGAGGGGCCTCCTTGGGGCCTCCTGGCGGCCTCTTGGGGCGGAAGGCTCGAGCTTGCGGTTCGTGGTCCCCCTCTGGGCCCCCTCTTGGGCCCGTCTTGGGGCCCTCTTGGGCCATCTTGGGCGCCTCTTGGGCCGTCTTGGGGCCCTCTTGGGCTGTCCTGGGGCCCTCTTGGAAGCTTCTTGGGCCGTCTTGGGGCGGTCTTGGGCGCCTCTTGGGCCGTCTTGGACGCGGTGAAAGCCCAAGAGGCGAACATGCGAAAAATATACGTTTTCCCATAGGAATGGCACGATTTTTGCTTCTTGGGCCTCTCTTGGGCTGCCTCTCGGAGCGTCTTGGAGGCTTCTGGGACCTTCTTGGTGTCATGACAGGCGTCTTGGAAGGCATCTGGAGCCATCGGAGCGCGTTCCGAAGCCGCCTGCGAACGATCTTGGACGGCGTCCGGCGGTCCGACGAGCCTCCGGGCCCCCCGGGGCCCACATTTGTGGTCGGGGTCCCGGCCCCGGGCCCCCGGACCCGGTGCGCCGTTATATGTATGTATATATATATATAGAAAGAGAGAGAGAGAGAGAGAGAGGCATGAGGACGCGGGGCGGGGTCAAGAGGGAGAGAAGGGAATGAGGGGGAGGAGATGGGGGGCGAGGGGGGGTGGCCAGGGGGAAAGGCAGACCCTGGTGCAACGCCAAGGTGCTGCCTACATCGTACGCTGCTGCATGGCAAGTGCAGGCGCGAGGAACGCATGAGCAGAGCCTGATTTCGTCGAGCTTGACGGACAGTGCAACTCTCAACTGAACAGGCCCCCACGATCTCGTCCGCGGGAGCAGATCAAGATCTACCATTGATTGGCCGTCCTCACTAAGATACCGAATGCTTTCCTCGACCGAACTAAAAGTACTATCCAACCAGACATGGAATTCATAGGATCCAAAATGTTCCCTCATCGCACCAAGCCATAATCGTATGACGGCCGACCCTTCGCTGACAATCCAACCCGTCAGTAGAAAACGCAAGGCAAGCCGGGCATGGCCTCCCCGACGACCAGGGACGCCTCGTGGCAGCGCTTCGCTGCATCATCCGCGTGCTCCCGCATGCCAGCTTTCCATGGCTCGGCATTCGCCCGTCGACATCCCCTGCGATCGAATGCTGATCCGTTCCTCTTGCAGTTCCTCCACCATCTGCTGATCACCCTTCTCCACGATGGCCGCGTTCATTGCCACGGTTCAGCAAAAAAGATACTGGCAACACCTTCGGGTAGCGAGAGCCGACATGCTCAACCGTGCGAGCCCGTACACAAGGACCAAGAAGTGCATCACCGTACAAGACACACATGCCACGCTACAGCCCAGAACAGACGAAGACATTGCAAAAGAGGAAACCCAATCAGTTGTCAGCGCGTGAAACCCACAGACAGCGCGCTGGCGGTGGGCGAAAGCAAAAAATGACGAACGTGGTTACCTCTGACCTTTTACTCTTTACTTCCTGATTTCTTCTCTCTGCCCTTGCCCTGCAATCTCTACCAGCTGCTCTCAACTGGGCATCCTCCACTCTGCACATGGTCTCTACCCTCCGCCCTTTGCTCTCCGCCCTCCTCTCCCTATCACATGCTCTCAACTCTCGCCTCTTCAATGCTGTCTATCCAAATGATGCTCTCGGCTCTCTACTTTCTTCACTCTGCACTGTTCGCTCTGCCCATTCCCGTTAACCCAGCTACACATGGCACTCCCTCCATATACTCAGACATACATACGTTTACACCTTGTCGTCTGCGATGCCCTCTCTATCCCTCTTACACGCACACGCACACGCACTCTCTCTGTCTGTCTGTCTCTGTCTCGTTCTCCCTCTCTCTCTCTCCCCTTCTGTGTACTATATATATATATATATATGTGTATGTGTGTGAGTGTGTATAAACGCATAGTCCACTCATCTATTTGTATTGATCCGGACCCTGCGGAAACCCTGCCCGCCACCCCCGCCGACACGGGACCCTCCCCAGGCCCAGATCCGTGGCTCTGAGGGTCCCGTGGGCGCCCCTGCAGGAGGCCCCAAGGCTCTCCAGAGCTCCGAGGAGCCCCTGCTGGGCCCCAGGGGCCCCCAAGACCGCCCCAAGAGGCCCCCAAATGGGGCCCCCAAGCGGCCCAAGAGGGGCCCAGAAAGGCCCCAAGAGGCCCCCAAGAGAGGCAACACGAACCGACAATTCGAGCCTTCCGCCCGAACAGGCACCCCAAAGGAGGCCCCTAAGAGGCCTCCAAGAGGCCCCAAAGGGCTCCCTGGATGCCCCTGCGAGGCCCCTACGGCAGCGGGCCCCACTCGGGCAGGAGGGCGGCCGACCGTCCCCCTCAGGGGCCCCTAAGAGGCCTCAGACGCCCACCAGACGCCCGAAGACGACCCCAGAGAAGACCCCCCAAGGGGCTCTCAAAACGCAGAGAACACTGACGTCCCAATGTTTTGGCATGGTTTCAGGAATGCCCTGCTCTTCGGTCTTCTGGGCGCCCAAGACCGCCCAGGAGGCCCAAACTATCCGAAAGGGCTTCCAGGCAGTCCAAAAGAGCCCCAAGACGTGACAACGGAGCTCCCAGATCGACAGGAGAGAGCCCCGTGACAGCCCAAGATGGCCCCAAGACGCCCCCCGACGCATTCCAAATCGTGACCCGGTCGTTCAGGGAGACCGCGATCGGCGATTCGAAGCAGGGTGGCCCGAGGAAGCCCCCAGAGGCCCCCAGATCGCGCCCAGGAGGCCTCCAGACGGCCCCAAGAAGCCCTTACAAATTTTCGTGAGGCCCAAGAGCTTCTCCAAGAAGGAGTCTCAGCCGCAAAAAGAGCTGAGAGGACAGGGAAGAATTAGCAGGGTTGTGCGAGAATGAGGAAGAGGAAACATGAAAGACAAATCATGAATAACATGAGTACAACGGCGATGCCGGAAAGGCAATCGGAAGGCATCGATACATTGTCTGGTTTGCACTCATGTCTTTCCACCTGCATGCCAAACTTCAAGGACCAAGGTGCATGGCGCGAAGCGCCAATGCCAGTCTCAGGTGTATATGTGTATATATTTATATATGTAAAGGTATGTTTAGGTTTGCGTGTATCTACATATCTATACTCGAACAATCGCGCGCGCTTCGCGCGCGCTCAGGTTCTAGCAGGCCCCAGGCCTTGACGAGTTCACTGGTCCACTCAAGTAGTGGACCACAGTCCGCGCATGTCAATCCGCATTCTGGAAGGCTTTCGGGGAAGATGGTGGCGTAGGGGAGTGGAGGACGGATGAAGCAGGTTCCCAGAAGGGCTTCTGGGAATATGGGTTTGGGCGGCGTCTTGGTGAGCCTGTTGGGGCGTGCCGTGGTCGTCGTCGCATTGTCGTCGTCGCCTCTTGGGGCGCGCCGTCGTCGTCATCGTCCTCCTCGTCTTCGTCGTTTCGCCGTCTTCGTCGTAGCCGTCGGTTCAAGAGGACACTCGGGACAACTTTGTGCGAAACGATCTGCGGGGGGCCGCGAGAAGGCGATCAGTCATGTTCCCAGTCAACTTCCCGGACAGCTCTCCAGTAGCGCGACGGTACCTTGGAGCCTCCAAAGACTCTCGGGCCCATGATGAACCGTGTCCCCGTAAGGCTTTCTGGGGGCATGACTTGTTGGGGTGTGTTGGGGGGCCTCTTGGGCGCTCCCTGGGGGGCCCTTGGGGGCCTCCAGGAACTCTCGGGCCCATGATGAACCATGTCCCAGGAAGGCTTTCTGGGGACATGATTCCTTGTGGTGTGTTAGGGGGGCCTCTTGGGCGTTCCCTGGGAGCCCCTTGGGGGTCTCTTGGGGCTTCCTGGGGGCCTCTTAGCCGCCTCACGGGGCTTCGTGGGAGCCTCTTGGTGGCCTCCAGGGGCCTACTGGGGGCCTCTAGGGCCAGAGACCCGAAATATCGGTTGGCGGTCCCCCTCTGGGCCCCCTCCTGGGGAGCTCTTGGGGCACACTTGGGTTGTCCTCCTGGGCCGTCTTGGGGCCGTCTTCGGGGCCTCGTGGACTGTCTTGGAGTGATCTGAAGGGCCTCCGAGGCCGTGAGGGAGCGCTGGGAAGCGGGAAAAGCTGGAATGCCAATCCATCAAAAACCATAAGAAAATGATTGGATTTTGGGAGCCTCATCAGTGCGTCCTGGCGCGTGTTGGAGTCCTCGTCGGCCGTCTTGAGGGCATCATGGGCGTCTCTGGGGCCTATTGGGAGCGTCTTGGGCCCTCTCGGGACCCCCCTAGCATGTCGTGGCCTGCTTAGGGGCGGGCCCGGGCCGCCTCGGGACCCCTCTGGACCCCGTCTTGGGGCGCTCTTGGGGCACACTTGGGTTGTCTGGGGAGCCTCCTGGGCCGTCTTGTGGCCCTCTTCGGGGCCTCGTGGGCCGTCTTGGAGCGATCTGAAGAACCTCCGAGGCCGTGAGGGAGCGCTGGAAAGCGGGAAAAGCGAGACCGCCAAAATCCTTCAGCGACCCTCGGAAAATGCAGGAGTCCGTCCTGGAGCGCTCGTCGGCCGTCTTGAGGGCATTTTGAGCGTCTTCGGCGCCTCTTGGGACCGTCTTGGGCCCTCTCAAGACTTCCTTAGCCTGTCCTGGCCTGTTCCAGGGCGGGCCCAAGCCGCCTCGGGACCCTTCTGGGCGCCCTCTTGGGATGCTCTCAGGGCACACTTGGGTTGTCTGGGGAGCCTCCTGGGCCGTCTTGGGGCCCTCTTCGGGGCCTCGTGGGCCGCCTTGGAGCGATCTGAAGAGCCTCCGAGGCCGTGAGGGAGCGCTGGAAAGTAGGAAAAGCGAGAACGCCACAATCCTTCAACAACCATTGGAAAATTAATGAATTCAGCCTCCCAGGGCCCTCTTGGGGAGCCACTTGAATCCGTCCTGGAGCGTGTTGGAAGCCTCGTCGGCTATCTTTTTTCACGGCGCGGAAGCCTGGATTGCTGTGCGTCCGCCTCACAGGCTTAAAAAGTTCGACTTGGAAGGAACTAAAATCATCCTTCTCTTCTTCACAGCGCGGAAGCCTGGAAGTCTTTACATGCCTCTACCCGTCGCCTACTCAGGAGGCACGGTCACACATCTCGCGCAGGCTAATGCGGCATGGATTGCTGTGCTCATGCCTCCAAAGCAAAAAAATCGGCTCGATCCAGAGGAGATCAAACCCAAAGACACTGCGCACCATCAGACCGGAGAAAAAAGACAATAGGGCTATAGGGCTATAAGGCTATAAGGCTATAGGGCTACAGGGCTAGAGTGCTATAGGGCTATTGATTAAGGCTATGGAAGTCTTTACATGCCTTTGCCCATCGCCTCCTCGAGAGCCACGGTCACACATCTCGCGCAGGCTGAGGCGGCATGGATTGCTGTGCTTCTGCCTCCAAAGCTAAAAAATCCGGCTTGATCCAGAGATCAAACCCAAAGACACTGCGCACCAAAAGAGGCCCAAACGGAGTCACCCGCGCAACACTCGCGGGTCCAGCGATGGACATAGCCAGAATCACGGGGCCAATGACCGCGGCCGTAATGTAGTTGGAGGTGCACATGTCATTCGTCAGCGCCATTTCGAAAAGCCCAACACCTATCGCCCCGAAAACCAGTGTAACTGATCCTGTCGCGAAGGCTACGCGATCTGGCGGCAAGCGCGCCACGACGGCTGCCCAGCATAAACCTTCTAAGAGCACAAGCCATATCTGCCAAGAGGTCGCTCCACCACACCATCCACCTTCGAGTTGTTGAGCGGTAAGTACTAACCATATCAATCCGATGCTGGCGGTGCCAAAGCCCCAAACACTCACATCAGCAAGAGGTCCGACCAATTCTTCAACTTCGCGCAAATGCTTCGTCACAATACCCATGCGCATGATGTCTCTCACGTTTTTGTCAACGAAATGCTCCTTAAAACTCAATCTAATCTCTCGCCGGATCGCCTCCCCGTCTGCCGGGACGGTGCATTTGGCGTCCCGGACGTGGCCCGTAAACCCATTCTGCAACTGCTGTGTTGCAACAGCTGCTGCTGATGTCCTCAGGCGGTCGGACTCGAGGGCGATCGGCGCGAGGAACATCACCGCA